TCTTCGTCCAACAAAAAGATCAAACATCAACTATGTTACGGACAGGCTCGATCGATTTTAAAAACCTACTTCCAATCACGATCGAATCGCTCGTTGTGACTTGCGTTTTTTTTTACATCATGGCAATTTTATAAATCCATAATTTAACGAAACGTTTAATGAAAATCAACGTACGCGCGTTACTTTTCATTGAATGCAAAAGTATCGAATTTTCTGGTAGAATACCAGAATCTAGTTTTCAATTGGTTTGTTAAAAAATAAGGAAAAAAAAAAGATGAATGTACATTAATTAATTTTTCTTCGCAATTTTTGTTGTTCTGAGTTGACATCTTCCTCGTACCGATACAAATCTGTTAAAATTTAGCTTTAAGTAGGTACACTCCCTTAGGGTGCTTAAGCAGGTTTCACCTTCCACGTTGACGGACTTGAACTCAGTACTGGCCTTCCTTTTAACGTATCGGCTTTATATGCACGATCCCTGTGCAAGTAAAAATTCATCAAACGAGTTTTACTTTTTCGGTTGGTGTGCTTATGTCTTCAATATTTGATGTAACGATAATCAATAATTACCATGCAACGGCGAGTTGATCGATCAAATAATTCGTTGGATAATATGCAATCGTGACCGTTAATGAAATTAACTGGTTTTATTGCAACGAAACATGGATATGGATATTTCATTGGGCTAACTCAAACATATAAAAACTCGAGGCATCATCATAATAGACAGAGACACCGTATTGTGTTTACATGACAAAATTATTGAATGAATGCTCCGAAGATTTGAGGCACCAGCGCTTCGTGTAAGAGTGTGTAACTTAATATTTAATTATCGACGCAAATATTTGAATGATTACAAAGTCTGTAAAACAATTATTGATCCTAAAATTAGCGTCATCCGAGTATTTTACATCATTATACGCGTGTGTGAAGGAAATTAACAATGAATTAAATTATCGACTTCGATCAAAATGAAGATTCCGCAGCAAAGCGTTGGGCCGAAAAAACTCAAAACTAAGGATGAAACACAAAAACTTGTGAAAAAAACGCGGTTTATATATAATTAAAATTTGTTCTGCGGCAGTATATTCAAGTAATGTATATTAGTCGTGCTTTGCATACAAAAAGCGCAGTCTTTCCTACAAGCTTGTTTTTCCTTTTGTTCGAATTGTTCCTCCGAAAGTCTTGATTATTCACGATGTACCGCGAGTTCTCGAGCATCGGAATAGACTCGGTTATTCTTTTTTCCGGTATATACGAGCGTAATGAAATACGGGCTCGTGCACCTGCGCGTTTGAAATAAACTGCATCGGAACAATGATCGACACCCGTCAGATCACCCCTGCGCATAAAAAAACACGCGTGTGCGTACGCGACTCGAGTAAAACTATCGCGTTCGCGCAGAAAATTGTTCGATTGATGCATGTGTATGCGCACCCCCCCACCCTTTTTTTTCTCCTCCATTTTTGCTGTAAATACAATTTACATGTAGGGTCACGCCTATTCAAAGGAGCCACAGGTTCGTTCAACCGAGGGTATACGGGTATGCATCTCGGAAGACGGGGGTCCATTGAGGCGGTTTTTTTTATCGGACCACAATGAAAATCAGCCTTTCCGCGAATTACAAACTTCATTTGCGGGTGATAAAAGTGCGATTTGCACCACAAGGTTGATACACCTCGTGAGCTCAAATGGTAAAATGTTCCGCGAAATGACTTTTTATCGCGTCTCTTCTTCTTCTTCGCGTATGCAGGGTAAGGTATTTTTTGTCGGAGAAACCATGTTTGCCGGATTATCGTGAATTATCCAAGTTGTATAAACTCGCGGATGTTTTACTGTCACAAAAAATGTCTGTCGATCCACCCAAACTATTATCTCGAGCGGAAATACTCAAAACGATTGCCTATGCTTCGATCCACTTTGAAAATATCGGTTTAATTTGAAAAAACGCACCATTTACTGCTAACATCTCGGAAAACGATCAATCGGAAATATGTGAGAAAATCCTGCCTTGGTTTGGCTCTGAGACACTTGATCGTCCACAGAAAACCTTCGGGGTCCATCTATACAAGCATTGGACTCGCACATGGTCCTCAGAGACACGTCGTCAACGTGACCTCAGTTTTATACATTACCGTCCGGCGATGAATAACAATTGGACGTTGGACTTTTTCTCATATTGAATGGTGATTTTTTTTTTTCTTTATTACATGGAACCCTTGAAGATGTTTTAAGTCCATGTCAATGGCTGAGTGATGTAAAGATGGATCTATAGTGCAACGACTTGTCGGCCAAAGAATCCGATTGGCCAATAATAATGATAATAAGAAAACACTGCTCATGTACGTATATCATTTGCTTGTGACTCTCGGAAAGTTCCGATGATCAAAAAGCTGCGAGTATAGCGGGCAGAAAATGGTCCATGTAGGCAAAAAGTGGTTCCTGGAAAAAAAAAAAAAAAAAAAAAAAAAAAAAAAGGAAAAAAGGCCCGAGAAAATCTGATAAACGATTGAGAAACCGATGGTTGGCCACGATCGAGACATGCGCGTGTGTGTACAGCTTGGCAAAGAATTAATATAGGCCTCGATCATTTTCGTCCCTGCACGCGATCTCACCTCTCTCTCGACTCTCCCCAAGTATTTTCTTCCAATTTCGTATCAAACTATACCTGCACGCATTACCTGCAAATACGATACTATTTCCAACGAGCTAAAATGCTCGCAAACATCTGCGGAAATTGAAAACCGCAAGAAAGTGAGTATGGCTACTTTTTTTTTTTTTTTCCTTCGTCCGCTAAATTTACAATAAAATGAGTCATGCATCGGTTAAACGGATAATTTTGATACAGTTGTGATACGAATTTCGTTGGACGTTCGGTAACGCGCGAGTGTGCAATTTATTATTACGCACGCCCATGTGTACAACATGTTGCTCAATAATCCTGTCAGCTGTATATGTAAGCGTGTATTGATACATACATATGTGTGCATTTAACTGCGCGTATTACGTGGTTTCTATATCGGTGATTTTTCGAGTGGTGTTATATATTTATATAGGATTTAAATCAGTCCAAGGCAATCGAGAGAAAGAGGGAGCAGAGCGGAAATTCAATATTCGCGCATAAGTTGTAAACCTTTCGACTCGAGCACGTGTGTGTACATTCTACGGCATATAGTCGCCGACAGTGTATTCGCGAGGCATCGTTTCACGCTGGAAAAACATACTACGTTACTAGAAACATTAATCGGCTATTGCAAGGAAAAAAAATTACAACTTTCGGGGAATCACGCGTCTGCGAGCAAAAAAGAGATGACGTTCCTTCTCCTCCGATTGTATATAGCATTATATGACATAACGTAACAATCGGGACTTTACGACTTGTCCTGTTCACCTTCGAGTCTGCATTTCGCTCGCGAGATTTTTCCGGACAACAGTTCAATACATTCGTCGCGGGTTGTATGCCTACGCACTTCCGCATTTCGTGAGAAATTACTATAAATGCTTACCGATCTTTCGTCTGTTGGGCCATAAGGAAACGTCAGCGGTCGATTGTTGTCAATCGGAATTCTGCCACGAAAATAATGTTCAGATCGATCACATTACAGACTAATCTTCGCGATTGGTTGGATCTTCGATACTTTGTCATTACATCGAACGCTGCCAGTGTAGTAAGTGCGCACAAAATTCTGGATGCTTTGCCACTACATGCATTATTTCGACGAATATCGGTGGGTAGCCAAAAATCGGTAACTTGAACTCCTCGTGCGCTCGGCTGAAACAGAAATCGGTACCCTCTGTCGCACACTTGGCATTATTTGGTAAACTCGACGTAGCTCGGCGTGGCAATTTCATTTTAAGACAGACAAAAAGTTATTCTATCAAGAATGTATAATTAATTCGTCTGGTGAGACGTCGGGTGGTGCTGTGGGAATTTCAGGTATACACTTGGATCTGCGTGAAAGTGCATATCCCGCGTATCTACTATATGCGTTTGTGTCGAAATACACGCTAGGAAGAGTGGGGTAAACTCACACGGGAAGGAATTTGAACTTTTGAAATATTCTACAAATGTATATCCACAAAGCCTCGCCAAATTTTATAAAGTGCGTGATTTTTGACGAATACGTATAAGTATGTGATGTAATTATTTTTAGAGAATTACACTTGCACACATTCTTTGATACATTCAGTCTCAATTTCTATTATAAAAATATTATAAAAAATAATGCCAGTAAACATGAAAATTCGATATTTCATTGAGTACATTTCACATCGATTGAAAAAAGATCAACAAACGAACGTAATTTACATTGCACGACCAAAAAAAAAAGTTTGCACCATAGATATATATAGAAATCCTAAGGTCACCGCTCGAGGCAGAGGCATACATTATACACCGACCTATGCATACACAAAAAGTGACCCTTGACTCTTCCGCCGAGCTAATTAATTATATAACTCTCCTGAAAATGCAATCAAGCAATTTACTTGTGCCTATACGTATCCAAGCTCACCTCCAAAGTTGGTACATACATGTATAATATAAGTTATACCGTTAGGGAGCAAAACGCATATTTTTATAACAACAGCCAGTGTAGCGATCAATCGAATTTATTACTAAAAAGTTATTTGCATATTTAAATGCATCTATGTAGGTTCATTCGCATATTATGCAACTCTCAACGACTGATAACAACCGATAAATGTACATGTGTATTTATACGGGGCGTTATTGGCACAATTTAAAGATTTTTCTGTATATAATGTAATATTAGCGATCTGTTTACTCGTTTCGCGCTCGGCCTCTCGTAAGCGAAATCACACGTGATGTGCTCGAAAAGAATTTATCTTTTTTCTTCTAACGTGATAAACGTAGCTGACTGTAAACCTTTGGAGAAAATTAACTCGTTGCCTACGAGGAAAATGAACCACCGATTTTGTAAGAATTAAATAAAAACAAAACAGCAACCAATTTATTCCATGAGATCGTTTATCTTACATCGATTCTGGAGAAAAGTGATGAAACGTATTTTTCGCGTTAAATTACATTCCATTTGCTCAGTTTGAATTTTGGCGCTTTGTCAGTGCTGCCACTCTGGGAGCTCTTAATTTTTTTTTCTCACAGTTGGTGTTTTGTGACGTTTCTTGCAATATGGCTCCGTGTGTTTTGTTTATTGTTTTGTCACTGACACTTTGATTCATTTCTGCTTTGAGGAGCAAAACAAAATATAGTTCGTTTATTTGGTGAATCTTGTAATACTTTATCGAAATGTCTCCGTCTAATCAAGATCCCGATGATCCATATGCATACGTGGCCAAAGGACCCTTGAAGCTGAAAACTAGCGACTCGAGTGGGAAGAAGTAAGCCAAGATTTTTTTTATTCCTGTTTTATATTTTTGTAAAATGTATACCGCTGAAAACTATTATCGATTTAAACGTACTATTTTTAACTGATTAATGTTTAAATTAGTCGTCTCCAATGCAGAGAGTATTGTTTAAGAGGTTATTTTAGTTTGTTTACATGTTGCTTGTCAAGTGACTTGTGCACTGTTTAAAGTTATTCATATTCCCTTTTTTTTTTTTTTTTTATCAATTTAAACTTGTTTCTAGGAAAAAAAAGAAGATCAAAGATGAAAAAAAATTAGTGGAGGTGGCAAAAATAATACAAGAAGATAACCCACCTGCTGTCGAGTTGAAGAAGACCAAAGCAGAAATTGCCTTTCAAAAAATGAAGGAAAAAACAGTAAGGCTCATTCTGTGTATTATGGTATAATAAATTATTCAATATTTCGACTAGATGTGAAAATTGACATTGTTGTTTTATAGCAAAACGAAAGAATAAAGTTAAAAGCTTCAAAAACACACAAACAACGCGTGGAAGAATTCAATAGACATCTGGACAGTCTGACCGAGCACTTTGATATACCCAAAGTCAGTTGGACAAAATAAATCTGCTTTTTTTTTACTGTATCACTATATTTTGAGGTATTACGTAGTATAGAGTATCAACTATTCATCATTGTTTAGAAATGATTTTATTTGTTTTACAATTGTAACAAAATGTATATAAATTTATAACATAGCTTATAAAAATACAAATTTGTTCATTTTTAGGTTTTACACGTTAAGTCATGAAATATTGTACATTTAAAATACTTTTAAATCATATACAAACATATTAATCATACCTGGTTTTCAATATTTAATTAATTACCCTATTAAAATTTGGTCGATAATTAATGCGTAGTTAAAATGTCATAGTTATTTCTATTTTTATTTTTATTATTATTCACCTCAGTTGAAAGTGAATTATATCTAGACATGACTTTATTCCTATGGTTGTACTTATAATTCTATATCAGGCACTTGAAAAATTTTAGCGAACTCTTCGCTGAATTGGACGGAACATTTACTAAATAAGAATTTTAAAAATTCGAAAAATTAAGCACTATACTTCCTAACATGAGATTCAAACCTTAAACTAGCTCATGGACTTAACTCGGTACACTACAGTAGCTGTAGCACACAAAGCTATACCTATCATATGAACAATAATTGTTCATTCGACTAAGAACGTAAAAAGTGTATTGGTAATATAAAAGCTATCAGCAAAAGACTGCAATAAACCGCTGCCACTGAGTTGTAAGATCCAAAATGGAAAACTTGATAGTAAGTTTCAGTTTTAACCCAAGGATTGGATCCATCATCGAACCACATTGGGCACTGGTCTCGTTCTCTTTCGTATTCCTACGATTACAATCAAATTGATAAACGAGTTTATTCGAGTCGCTGTTACTTTTTTTTTGATAGTACGAAACTCACCTCCAAATCAAGGGCAACTGCAGCACCCTCGGTATAGTTTGAACTGGTCACGTCTTGTTTAATATCGCAGAACGAACCAATAGCTTGTGACATGAGAACCCTGTTGAGATCGGCTCTCTGATACACCCAGCAGTGATATTTACTGTACGGGTCACGCTCGTCGAAAGTAATTAGGTAAGATTTCAAGTTCTCTTTGAAATATCCAATACACTTCATTTTGTAGTCAGGCTCGCCTAAGAGAGTTAAATTCCACGATCAAATGGCCCTTATCTCGAAGATTGGAAAATACGAAATGTACTCACTGTATATATCGATGGGTCGGCCCAAGTGATCGACGGTCAAACAATACCTCTCGTCAATCGCGATTTCCTTTTGATCGGTACCGCACACCGAAAAATCGGAAATGACTTGTTTGCATCGTACATCAGGTCGAGGTGAATCGGTAACACCACCGAGGATCCGAGTTTGGAAGAGGACGTCTCCTGTTTGCTTGAAGCTGAATTTCCCTGCCACTGGACACCTTACGGGAACTGGATCCTTTGCTAAAAGAATGAAAGTAAAATGGCATGTTTTACTAGTGCAATGGAATGGTTAAAAAAAAAAGTTACATGTAATTTTTGTTTCTCACCCAAGAACAAATCGTACTTCCATTCCTTTTCATTTTTGAATTTAACCCAAGAACACACCGTGTGAAAATCGTCCTTGATGACAGCCAAACCTTTTCTGTACCTAATAATGTTGTGATGCTGTGGCACAAAGTCGAAGCAAACGAAATCTTTTTGGCTATGGTAAACAAAAAAGTTGTGAAAAACGCTGTCAGGTCTTGTATATACAGCTTAAAACAGGTAAAAACTTCTTAGTCAAATTAAAATGTCGTTTGTCGTTCCAAGAAGCAGTCAAATTTAATAGATAATTTTTTTTTTTTTTTTTTAATCGAAAATTCTCCAACGTTGAGAGTAAAAGATTGCAAAAATTTTCGCATTTCACCCTTTTCTTTGGCTTTCAAAAAATTCGTGAAATATTTATCCTTTTGTTTTTAACGATTCGTGGAGCTTTTGATGTGTAAACTAACATGATGGGTTTTCAGCGCAAACTGTCTACAGTATTTGCACGGAACATTTAAATATATACTCTGTAAAAGAAAAGCGATTTCTCGGTCAACGAAACGTTATCAATTTAATTTTCAGGTCGCGCATAGCTATGCGTGCGAAATACAGGTTTAATAATCGAAAATACTTATCACGTGATCACCCCCCCCTAAAAATGCGTTGGTATAATGTATATTGTATTTTCCCGAAACTCTTACCATCCGTCCACCGTAAGTCTGGCCATCATGAAGCGCGTGTCTCTGGTCTCGCGGCACGTGTAGATGGTCTTCCTGTACCTCCCGGAATCCGGATACCACGTCTCGATGATGTGCGTCTCGTTGATGAACACGTCGGCGTCGATGTTGGCCGTGTTGATCCAATTGCCGGACATGTTCTGCGGCAGCCGACAGCCCGGCTCGACCACCTCCGTCTTCACCGGGGTGATGCGCAGACGCTCCGGGCTTTTTTCCACGCTCTTGAGTACGTTGCACTCGGCCGTTATCGACACCCCGATGTAAAGATCGTCGTCCCGGTTTTTCAAAAAACACCGGTACTTCTCGTCCTTGCGCGACTCCTTGGTGTTCGCCACGGCGAAGTAATGGTTCTTGTCCACGAACCAGTCCCCCAAACAACTGTACTCCACCACTGCCAAAGTTCCCCCGAACGTTTACACATTCACCATTGTACTATTTCATTTTTATTTATTTTTTTTTTTTTTTTTTTTTTTTTTTTTTTTTTTTTTTTTTTTTTTATCGAAAGTTCCTTTCATGCCCGGGCACTGCTTGTACGTGATGTTGAATTTTTGATTGGTGATGAAGAATTGCGTCCCTGCCGTTTGACACGAGCGAATTTGGGCGTCCGGGTTATTGCACTCGCCGGTGAACCGAAATTTGTTCTGAAATTAAACGTCATTTTTTTTTCTCTCCTTAAACTCATTGCTACGTGCACGTTTAAGAACTTTGTTATTCTAATAGAACGTGTGATTGTACCTGATAGGTGAATTGCCAGACTCCTTCGAGGGAGGACCTGCAGTTGACGGGTACGAAATTTTCGGAAAACAGAGTGATGAGTTGTTGGTCGGCTTTTAAGCCCCTGCAAACGTTTTCTACCGTAGGCTCGACGCCGGATGGGAGATTCACGCAACCGGCTGAAAAAAAGTTTTTTTTTTTTTTTTTTTTTCTGTCTCGTTGGTGCCCCTATAAGTAAATTTTAAGGAATATATATATATAGCAATGTACATACTTTCAAGTTTTTCCAGGACATTGACAGTCCGAACGATCAACTTGACGCAGTGGAAGCATACGTCTTGGCGGAAGACGAACGTGTAATTGACATGGTATTCCTCTTTCATGTCGACGCAGTATCCCCTGCTGGTCATGGTTTCGGCGTTGATTTCGGTCAAAGTGGGCTGTCCGTTTTCCCACGATGACCAAGCGCCCCTTATTATCAGGGGAATTTGGCACGTTTCTTGGGCGCTCGGGCCAACTGGAGACACGATCAAATTAATTCGACACAATTACTCATCTCTCGAGCTCATATTCGTAAAATAAACGATGCTTGGTGTAGTTGAGGAAAAATACCTGCCCCAAAGTTTTTTCGATAAAACAATACACGGAATTGGGAGAGATCTAGTAGATACGAAAACTAAGGTATTTTCATTGGTACAGCACGTTTTTCAAGATTTTGGATACGTATTTGAACAAACATTTTATTTATCTAAAATCCGAATAATGTCTAGATAATTAAACTCTCACTCCCCACCAATTACATGTTTGTGATTCGAAACGAATGAACACAAAAAATCGGCTTTTGAAAAATGGGGGAAAAAAGATAATCCGTACGGGCGAAAAAAAAAACGGGAAGGTTTACGAAAAATTAAAAAAATCATTCAGCCTTGGTACATTGAGACCGATCAACAGAATCTAGAAATTCCTATGCTGTGACACGCACACAGTCACGTAAGCGCATTAACAGGGATATATTTTTACAAAAACCCATGTACGTATAATCGAAAAAAAAAAAACAAAAAACGCATCAAACTCGTTATTGGAAAAAAAAGGTGATCGAAGGGAAAACTTTCTCTGCTGAGGGAGCGAAAGCGATCGTCAACAAGTGTTCCACCAACAGGTTATGAGCTGATGATGATAATGATAATAATTAAAAAGGCAACTAACCGAGCGTAAATGCAACACACAAGAGCGTCAAAAGCCTCATCGTTGACTCGCCCATTGTTCTTCCTCGCCGCAGCCAGTACCACTATACTAGACGATATGCACTACCGATTTTTCGAAAATTCCTCGCGTTTAACGAAAAAAAAAAAAAAAAAAATTACCTTCAAGTTGAGTCGCGACTCAACTACAACACACCCACACACACGTGCGCGCGGCGCGCGCACATAAAAATCGGTCGTACACTAGACAACGCCCTTTGAAAAATCGAAGATCGGAGCTAAACATGCAGGTGACTGTGATGTGGTGAACGTGTGATGTATATATAAGTACAGCTGTGTGGGGCTTGATACTCTCTATAGGTTTTCTTAATGGATGTGAGCGCGAGATTGACCTTTTCTGTTTCAATTGGGATTAATTTCGTAATAATTACGTGGATGCACATTTTATTATTTATGCAATACAATGAGTTTTCAATGATTTAAAACGATTTCTTAAGAATATTGGAAAATCTCACAAATGAGTGAAGAGGTAAATTTGTTTAAAAAATTATGTAGGAACTCAAAGGCCTACTTGATGCTGTTTTCGTAGGTAATGTTTTGAAAAAACAAAGGTAATAATTAATTATCTTTCATGTGTAAATTAAATTGACCTGATATTCATCGTACACATACCCTCGAAAAAGAGAAAGAGTCTTTTTTGATCTTCTCATTGGTCAGAAAGCCGTAGTAGTCCAATTTCTGGCTATGTATGAGTGGTCTTACGGTATAGTATATTTTTATAATGATTTTTAGTCCCATTTAATCAAAATATTTCAACTTTGATGCATCGTAAATATATTTTACTTGTGAGGCCTACTGCTGTTCTCGAGAATAGAATTGTTGTAATTGAAAAAAATGCATTAATAAATGCACAAAAGTGTTGGTGATAAGTTATTGCGATACATGTACAATAAAAAGCTATTCTCTGTTGGTAAAAGTTTATTTTATTTATAGTTTTTTTTTTTATCATGTACAAATCACTTGCATATTATTGTAGGGTTACATTTTTCAACAAAATTTAAAAACAATTATGTAATTGTGATGTGATATGCAACGTACAATCAATTGTTTTTTTTTTAAATTTATTTTACAAGTACAAAAAAAAATAATTACCATTAACTCATTCAATAATTTAGTAAGAATGTTGACACCTTTTTTAAAACAAAAAAAAACATACGCACACACGCATTAAAGTCTTCCGCCCACGCATCTTCCCCCGAATAAAGCCGTGTTTACAATACATCATTGGACACGTTAGTCTGCAGTAGTTGGAAAACCAGCGTTCGCACACGTGCAAATCCGCCTTTCGGACAGAAAAGCCAGGCCGGAGAGGAGCAACGTGCTTGACGGAGCTCTTTTCCCTCTCTGCTGTTGGGGCACGCTGCAAACAAGCTAAAAAATGGTCCAAAAGAAGGTAATTATTGATTATTTTCACTCGTTCAATGTACCGCACTCGATGGCATCGTTTAACTATTAATTAATGGACCATCAAAAGCTGGGAATAGCCACAGCTGTGGCTGAAATATTGCGGAATCCGTTTGACGATTAACCTATAAAAGTACAACGTGATTGTCCACGTACGGGCTGATGGACGCCTCTTGTTTACATATTATGTTTTTCTTTTTTTTTTTTTTGCAAATCAAATCGACTACGTGTCTGTGACTTTTTTTCATCCACGGTCTTTTTATGGATTTTATTGGTTTTGCAATGTTTACAGTGCACTAGTTGTAAATTAACCTTACCAGTGAATTAGTGTAGGTGTGATTGCTTGAGTGAATAGTGATGCCCTGATTATTTTACACAAGACTTGGGTATAAGTAACATTAGAGTTGATGTATTCTTTTTTTTTAGCCCAAGAAGAAGGTCGGAAAGAAGGTAGCTGCAGCCCCTCTGGCTGTTAAGAAAGCTGAACCCAAAAAGGTTACTAATCCTCTGTTTGAGAAACGCAGTCGCAACTTTGCCATTGGTGAGTATTTCTCACGTTAAAACTCTTGAGATGTTTTCTAATATAAAGACTTAAGTTAAGTTATACAATTTCTTTGAATTTTAGGTCAGGACATCCAGCCTGAAAGAGATCTTAGCCGCTTTGTCAAATGGCCCAAGTACATCCGCATCCAGAGACAAAAGACCGTTCTTTCCAAAAGATTAAAGGTCCCTCCACCAATTAACCAGTTCACACAAACTCTGGATAAACAAACAGGTAAACAAATCCACAGTTCCCAATTTTTTTACTTGCATCATTTTGCTGCTTATCCAAGATTAACTGATTTGGCAATTTAATTTTCAGCAACACAGCTGTTTAAAATTTTGGAAAAGTACAGGCCCGAAAGTGCAGCTGCCAAAAAAATTAGGCTAAAGGCCAGGGCAGAGGAAAAAGTTGAGAAGAAGTCGGACACTCCAACCAAGAGGCCTAACACCTTGAGGAGTGGAGCTAACGCTGTTACAACTTTGGTTGAACAGAAAAAAGCTCAATTAGTTGTCATTGCTCACGATGTCGATCCATTGGAGGTCAGTTAATTTACATAGAATTACTTGAAAATTTCAATTCGAGATTATTGATTTTAATCAATGAATTTTTTTTATAGATCGTTCTATTCCTGCCCGCTCTTTGCCGTAAGATGGGTATACCATACTGCATTATCAAGGGCAAGGCACGTCTTGGTCGTCTTGTCAGAAGGAAAACCTGCACAACTGTTGCTTTGACCCAGGTATGGTTTGTCACCACCTACATTTATGTACTCTTGTATGTTTTCATTATTTCTACATGATGAAGAAAATAGAGCCAATCCAATGAATGTACAGTGATATATTCTATTATATCTGATAATATACAAATCAAAAATTATTTTTGGCTTTCTTCTATGGAATAAAAATAATGAGTCTACTGATTTTTCGATTACAGGTTGATTCTGGTGACAGAGCTAATTTCAGTAAAGTCGTTGAGGCCATCAAGACCAACTTCAACGATCGTTATGATGAGATCAGACGTCACTGGGGAGGTGGTCTCCTTGGTAGCAAATCTGCTGCTAGGATAGCTAAGTTGGAGAAAGCTAAGGCGAAAGAACAAGCACAGAAACAAGGTTAATATTAAGTTGTCTGTGAACTTTATATAAAAATCTATAATAAATTAATTNTTACTGTAAACTTTTGTTTATTTTTTAAAAGTCTTAAATTCTTAAAAATTAACTTCAAATAAATTTTACAATTTCTCAAACGTTTTTTATCTCACATTCTCTTCATTATTAATTTTTCTAATCGTTTAATTCTTCCTGCTTCGTGTTCTGGGCTCTCTGGAATGATGCTGCTTCTCATTTCAACTGTTTCTGCGTTGAGTTTTTGCTTGAATTCCTCTATCAATACAGATTGCTCCATTTTTCGAAGACCCTTTTAAAACATGTTGACCATTTCTAGTAAATAGTTAATTACATAAAATGAATAATGATTCAATGGTTCCTACCTTCATATCCAAAATTTTTTGAAATTCTGGGATCTTAAGATCAGGCAGGAGTTTTCTACACTGGTCAACAAAAGCACTAGGAGATTCTGTTGGCGACATCACGATTTTGAGTATCATTTCAGCAATCGTCATACCTTTAATTACAACCTGCATTGTTTCAATTGATTAGAATTAACAAAAGTGCCATGACCGAAGAATAAATTTTTTAAACTTACCTTTGTGTAAGGAACAGGTGCTTTCCTTTGAATTTGGCAACCCGTGGATGGAAGGTCCAAAAGAGCGGTTTTTAACATATGAACGTCTAATAATAGTTGCTCCGCTCCCACTGTACTCAGTGGCTTACATTTGAATATTTGTTGAGTTAATTTAGGGATGAAGGAGCTACAAAAGTAAATTTGTTCAATAGCTGATTATAACTCAAATGGTGAAGAAAAAATTAAATACCTAACAAATTTCACACATAATTGTGTGAAATATTTTCTACACGAAGATAACTGATCCCTGATACTTGGAATGCTCTGACAGAGATGCGCTGTTATCGTGCTGACATATGCACTCTGATCGCCGACACTTTCAATTGTACTCCATTGCATCTTAACCATCGTATTTAAAGCTGATTCGCAAGCTAATTCCAAATCTTGCACCAATAACTGAATGCAATTTGATATTACGCTACAATAAAAATTATTGTGTCAAATCGTAAACTGTAAAAAGGCATCTAAAATTGATGAGAAACATTTCTTTACCCGTGAAAAATATCTTGTTCTTGGGATAAATTTATTTTATCTGCATAAATCTTGTCGGTCTTGAGGCGAAGTTTTTCTTCCAATTGTTGTGTAGTTTCAAGACAATATTCAGCCGTCGTCAAAATACTGCGAAAAATATTTGGTGTACAAACAAGTAATCGGGAAAAACTAAAATTTGACACAATGATTACCAGCAAATGCGAGCTTGCTCCTCTTTGTTGAATCTGCTACTCTCACCCTCCTTCAAAAAACTTTGAAAATTTTGAATGAAACCCGACGTCGACAAATCCCGAAACTCGCGTGTTATACTGCTTACACTAGACCCAATACTTACTCCTCCGATTCTGTAAGAACAAAAAAAATGTTTTTGCAATAATTTACTTTCAATTCACGTTATTTTCTTATATTGTCAGAGATTGCTTACTTTGGCAGATTATTCTGCAAGATTTTCATAGCGTATTCGCGTAAATACTTTTGGAAGGTCTCAGCTAGATTGAGCATAATTGAACCAGAGCTGAGCTGTGTGCACTGGAGCATGCACTTTTTATAAAATACAAAAAGGTCAGCGCAAGAGGATAAGACGCTGCTCGGACCTTCGGCACCCTCGTAAGCTTGGGCACCGGGTGGCTGAGCCTTGCAGTCTGCCACGAATTTTTCGATGAGTTCCGCCAAGTTTCGGTCCAAGCTTTCGATGTATATGTACAAATATGACTCAAAGCACTTGCCGATTAAATTGGTGAACGGAGACGACGGCGGTTTCTCTTGCTCAACTTTTTCGGAGCTCTCCTCGAAGGGACTGCTAGGAATGCTAGGATCAGTAGAGGTACTTGCAGCCGCCGCAATCGCTGGTGCAGAATCTTTTTTTTCTTGTCTCTTTGGCTCCTCGAGTGTTATACCTGTGAATCTTTTGGATAGCAAGCTCTCGAAATTGGAGGTCCTCTGTATGGCGTAGAGCAAAAGCTTGACATCTATTTCCGAGGATCTTTTGTGCATCAATTTGTTCAGATCCTCGCGCGTTGTATGACAAAATTGTACGGCAATGCGCTCAGAGACTTCCCAATCTACCGGGAATATGTTGCCGAATTTCGACTCGAACTCGAGCAAGTGTTTTTTTATCCACGCGTACCTACGATCGATCTTGTCCAGCCAGGCGAATTCTTGATTTTCGTCAAACAAATGAGTATATTCTTGCAGCTGCATCATCACAAACCAAGATAAAAGCTCTTTTCTAAAAAACATTTCCACTGAATTGAAAATTTCTGATGATTTTTTTAGTAATGTTTTAGAACAGCTTACTTGACTTTTGAATCCAAAACAGACAATACCAGACATCCTTCTGTTAATTGTGCAAAGTGCTTGGGATTTTGACCTGAAAAAGCTTCTTTGAAATCTGTTGTAATTTGCTGAGCTAATTCTACATGGATTTGTTGCACCTGAAATTTCAATGTGCAAATTGTAAACTTGTAATATACAAACTGAAGCACGCAACCACATCTTTAAATAAATCTTACTTGGTCGGATAATTCTTTTATTTGAGGTATTTCCATGTAATTGTTAAAGTGCTGCATGACTTCCATGATTGCTTGCAGAGGTAGAACGATCTCTCCATACTGTTTTTTCTTTGTTAAATCCCTAAAAATTATATTATAATAATTTGTTAGACCTTTTAATGACATAAAAATAATATAAAAACATACTTAAGAGTTTCAACACCATCCACCAGCATGTGCAAATGATTCAGGGCAGTGATAGATTGTGTGAGATTCTTTTTAGCAAAGTCTAACTGCTTAATATCCCTTGTTATCTCCTTGACGGTCTCTTCTGATTGTTCGGCCATACTTTTAATATCCTTTATCTGCACGGACAACTGTTTCATTGACTTGTGTGCACGCTCCAGTGCAGCTTTTCCCTCCTGAGCATTGTTTGTTTGACTCCTCACAATTGTACGAATCTCTGTGTCGATATGAGAAATTTCATTTTCCATTTTATTAATAACATCGTCTATATTTGATAAAGATTGTTCAGTAGGAAACAACGAATTGATATAATCTACAGGGTTAAAGTCTGGGTGGTCAAGTGGATCATTGCTAGGCATCACCTAAAACAATAAAATGCACAATATTTTGTAAATATAAACTTCATTGCTATAGCAGATTATACTCAATTAAAAATAAAGAGTTTAATTACTGACTTTGTCAATCGCCGCTTGCACACTGGGAGAAAATTTAGGAATCATTGATATCCAGTCTTCGTTTGGGTCCCCTTCGGCAGATGCCATTTTAAATAAAAGGAATAAACTAACTCGTACAACAGGTGTGTTTAAGGTGCCTTAAAACATCTAAGATCGCTGCTGCTGTAGTTTTTTTTTTTTTTTCGATTAGAACTATCGAAAATCCAAGGAGTATGTTAATTACAAACGTTTCCTATTCAAATTGGAGCAGTAGGCTTCTTAAGTTGTCAATGTTAATGTCAACAAACAACACCACCACCAATACATAATGGCATGTGTCAACATTCTCAATTTTCAGCGGAGATCATGTACCTACGGTAGGTACATCAAGCAACGAATGTGCCAGTCGTGCAGATGAGTTAAGTACGGGTTAGTTGTGGCAGAACCGAATTATTGGAGTTGAGGGTGGAAACTGGCATGCAAAATGTGATATAAAAAAACAATTAATATACGTTTGCAAAACTAATTACAACATTTTTCGTGGTTCTCGTGGATATAAATATTTGTCGTATGTATAAGTTAATCGTGCTTGTGTTAGTAAGCAAAATTGGGAAAAAAAGTTTTTAGTGATTCGATTTTGAAAAAAATGTATACCCATCATAATCTGGAAGTGAAGGAGCCAGTGACATTGCTTTTCAAGTCGGAAAAAAAAGGTATTTTAAAATTACTGAAGTAGCTCCCTACTCTTTAAACTATGCAAGCATACGTACGTTACATCCCGAGTTAATACAGACGAATCATATTATAAGTAGAAACGCAATTCATCCGTAAAATTCAACCAAAACGTATTGTGTATATACAGTGTGCTCATATGACAAGTGGAGCTCATACGTCATTCATATGCGCGTGTGTGTTTATTAGCTTTAAGGTGAATGTTTCATAATATGCTGACATATAATACAGCCAGACTCCTTGTAAGAATGCATATACATGTATTAAAATTGTCCGTAACATGTATATGTGTATAAATCTTATTGTGTGTTTAAATGAATAGTTTACTTGTGCATTGATTGTTCATTTTTAATAATGTATACTAATTTAAAAATTGCAATTAACACATTATTTCATTGTACTCAAAATTAATTATAAAGTTCCCAAGAGGATTAATTGCGAAATTTGTAAACTTACTGTCACACTTAAACTTGTATTTGGCATTCTTTTATTGCTGATGCAAGCTTTCATTATTACTGATTGCAGCGCTCATTTGTTGATCTAATTTAACCAAAAGCCTCTTGTACTTGCTCTGACACTATAAAAACTTACCATCAAGAGGAAAAATTTCTCTTTTCACGTATGTAACCTGTCCTCTAAAGTTTTAGTCTACTCTCGACTCCCGCGACTCGCGAGTATGTTATACACGTAAAGCATAACGTGTTGGCTGAGGCAACTCGGGCGGAGTTCGAGAACATCAATGGTATCAAACTACGCTAAGGAGCGAAGTACAATGAAGGAGGCCCGCCGAAAGTGGTTCTGGCGATAGCATGGAAAGCAGAAATCGCAACATCTTACCGGCCACAAATTCATTCGTGTTGTTTAAGGAACTATTGAAAATTTCTGTACGAAGCATTAGGGAACTCCGAAGCAGCAGTAATAGCAATCTGTGGTAGGTGTAAGTTATTTATCAGTAATATAATTAATATCAAAATCTTGTTGAAGTGACCTGAATGGATTTTATCTAAAAGAATAACTCTTCTAAATTGTTTTAATAAAAGAATTAAGAATTAAACATTAATTAAAATCATCTATATTAATTAAATAAACATTTTGCTCAACTAAAAAGAACAAATAATGCTCATGAGCTGAATCCTAAGAGACCCACGAATGACACGAAAACAAAACGGATAAGACCATACTCTAAACAAGTCCGGTTAAAACACGTAAATTTTGTAACTATATAAGTAAGAAATTAAGAACAGAAAAAATGACTACGAATGTTTTGTTGATGTTGAAACATCTTGTAACACAGTTTAAAGAGGCAATCTATAAAAAGTTTTGAAAAATAATGTCAAAATAAGTACCTAATTGGAATGGCAAACAAGATTGAAGAGACTATTGATATAGTAAGACCTAAAAGGTTACCTATGGATAATATCTGGAGTACTGTGAGATTAAAAGAGAAACATATGTCTGAGAGCCATTTTTTTTGCATTCATGCAGATGAAGAAGAAAGAAAATTGGAAGCAATAGATATAAAGAAAAATTTCTAACAGGTACAAGAATCTTATTACTATCTTGTGTTGATGACTGTAATGTACTTACTCTGATAGCGTACAATAGTTGATACTGAAACTATTATTCTTCTCTTTTTTTAATGCTGATATCTGTAAGAGTTGTTAGTCGACTTTTATCAAGTAACCGGCGTTTTCTTCACTTGTAAATCGTATTTTTACAAATAAAATACAAACTTCTAAATTGTTGAGATCTATTTAGTTTAAAGAAAAATTCAAAAATTAATAATTTTTAGGTAACTATCTAAATTGTACTAACAGACTCAAGTTTTTCTACTGGTTGAACTTTGTATGTTTTGAAATCAATTTTAATAAATTAAAATATATAAAGTAGTTCCTGCAATACAACAACTAAAATATGATGTTATTAGCGAAAGCTATGCTTTTTCTTGTTTCCTAACTTATGTAACTATTTCTGTCGATCTCAAGTAATGCGAAAATTTGAAAAAAAAACAGTTCTCAACGTTTTTAATTAATTTCTTATAAAAATTTTTCTGGCCTGTGCTAACGTATACTGCCTTTTAAAAGGAATACTAGTTACGTTCTCCAGAATGTCTAGAATATCAGTTAAAATAGTGTTATAATTTTTTAAAATATAACGTACCCAATCCGTTAATGTTTATTTTATCCAACTAGAAAGAACACTCTCAATATTTTTATAACTCTAGTATTTGCATTGGAGAGAATGTGTGTATTTCTAACAATAGTAAATACAAACTATATAACGTATTTATGTTTTAATATTTTTCATAATGAGTTTTTTATAGATTAATAAATGTTCCATTAATTTTAAAAATAATTTGTTAAGGTAAATTTAACGTTTCGTCTTTGATTACTAGCTGAAAGTCATCAGTACGGCGATGGCGTACTAACAATCTAGCCACAAACGATCAGGACCAACACTTGCACTAATACGTATTATTATAACGCTGGTGAGATTGACATCGTAGATTGGGATACTGGGATGAAACTTTTATTGGCAAACGATTGAAAATACATACCAGTTTTCTAACATACTATGTCAATCTTGCCATTGATGTAATAATAACCATCAGTGCAAGTGTTAGTTGTGTTTGTCAGTGGATAGATTATAAGCTCGCCACACTAATGCGCTTCAGCTAGCGATCGAGAATAAAACGAGTCCTCTCCTTTTTCTACTATTCCTTGTAGATTAGTTTGATTGAAATAATTCTGCTCAAATCGTTAAGTAAAGTGTAGGAGCTTCATTGATGTTGATTCTACGAAAAAACAAACTAATTGTTTTAGGTGTTTAAATTAAGAAATGTTTATATTATCATTTGAGGAAGGACAGGCCACAAATGTCGTAGCGCTCAGAAAGCAGCTATGTTAGAGAGTCTCTCCTCATACGTCCTCGTATGCCACGTGGTGGCTCTCTTTCTTGCGCTTAACCAGGAGCGACAAAATGGTCGTGTTATCAGTTAATGATGAGTTAATAGCATACATTGGTTAATTAAAAAACTATAAGTAATTGTCGCGCACACTTACTGTGTCCTGTCTGCAAATTTTGCTGCTGGGACGAACAACTTGTGCGTGTTGCGTTTGCATGCCCGAGTTATCCGTCGCACTGGATCCTATGGGTGATGTGTGTACATCGTATTCTTGTATACATGTCTGCTCATGTTTTCCATGGACACAGTCTGTGTTCGGCTGGCTTATCTGAAATAATAAGTTGATCTGGGTTATTTTAAAAGATGGTGCAATTGATGATTGTGACATAAAGGACATTTTTAAAGTGATAGAATTTTTTGGGGGTGGAGCAGTTAGGCATACCACGTAAGTAGATACTACAGCAGAATTTTCCCGCTTACAGACACGATTACAACTGTCCGTAAAGAGAGTAAATTGAAAAATGTTCGGATGGCGAGTTATCTGCTCGTCATCCTCGAATGTCGATGTAATGGACTGTATGGTTTAGTTGAGCGCTGGATTAACAGGAAGAAGAAAAAAAATGATGTCGTCACTTTTTTCTTGATATTCAGTCACAAGATGTTTCTCCTTTATTTTCACCATACAAACAAGTTAGCATGTAATACAAAATTTTACTTTAATTAACACCTTTTGTGCACCTTTACGTTTGTACAACTTGTAGATTATTCACTTAAACTTGAACCGTTGAAATACAGACATTTACTTTCTGCTCTTTTCTTGTGGCACACGATAGAGGTAGAGAGACAATGTTTGCGGCGAAGAGTACGAGAGGAGAAGAAATTATTCTTATCTTAAAAGAAACCGAGCAGTACACTCGGTCCCTTAGTTGAGGCGCTCAGACTGCGTCTTGTACAGAGCAACACTGATGTCTGATTCGTTTTATGTGCAGACAGCAACTGACTTGGCTAGCGTTTCTTTTTCGTTTGTACTCGTCTCACACCATTCGGCAGTGGCGCCAACTTAATGGATTGACTTTCTCTTACCTCTTCTCGCCAAACCCTCGTCTAAACAAAAAAGATTTGAGAAAAGACAGTTTTAAGAAAAATTAAGATAATTTGCTAAAAGACGTGGTGCGCTCAAACAAAAATTTGATGATTGATGTTATAAATAAAACCAATTAAAAAAATAGACTAGCAATAAATTACTAAACAAAATTTTAGGTTGTACTTAGACGGGCCATAGAGAATGAGCGCGTAAGGATGCATTTCTGAGCCTCCATGCGCTTTCAAAACTCAGAAAGCAGTATTAGTGAAAGACAGAGGGAAGAAATCCGCCAACTTTAGGAGGATATTGAGCAACAACTTAAGGAACACAAGCAGTCAATGAAGGCTCTTGTACGAGTGTTGGTCAGGAGCCAACTATTGGTAGTAAACAAATTTACTACTTCTACTCCTGCATCTTAAATCCAGCAACACCTAATAAATTTAAGCTCTGGTCCCATGAAAAGTTCTCTGATAACGAATTAGGGACTATCACATACTTATAGTTTTAAGAAAGAGGTAGTCAATAAAAGTAGCACTGTAAATTTTATTTATTCTCTTACAAATTAGTCTAAGTTGTA